CAAAGGGAACAGAGAAAATTACTCCCTGTTCTTGACTAAAGAACACTTGTAGCTTTAATAAGGATTAATCTATATTTCATTTATAATTTATGCAGTGCGGACTGTTTTATAACCTTATTCAATTTCTGTATATTTCATACCTGTTAGACAGGAAAGGCACAGGTAAATATGACATTTATTATGGGTTTAAGTGAGGATTGTTTTAAGTTAACTTAAATAAAAAAAAATTATATTTTTTGAAGCCTAATAAATGTTTAAAATTTGGGGAAAAATCATTTTCATGGAGACATCAGTAGCTATATTAATATCAGTGATACTGGCCTTCATTCATAAAAAGATGACATTAACATACAGCCATAATACTTGAAAATAAATGGTTCCACTGAAGATAAGTCCGTCTGTGCAGTTTCAGCCATCGGGTGTCGTCAGCGTTGGCGCCGATTACACATGTTAAGCATGTTTTGTTAACTTGTGGTTAGGACTACTGATGTTCAATGTTCAATTTTAAAAGTAGCCTCAATTAGGTCTGCATGAAGTTGGAAATGATTTGCTGTTGCAAAGAATCGTTTATGAATGCACTTTTAAAAAGGTCGTGGAAATAAAATGTCTTCAAATACAATATTTTAAAATATTAAAAAAAAAATCAAAATTTATCAGTTTTACACACAAAATATGGCATTTACTGCAGAGGCGTGAGTGGGTTAGTGCCGGCGGTCGGGATTTTGGGAAAGGGGGGGGGGGCTTGGCTGTCCTTACCTACTGTAAGGGGAGGCTCATGTTCACCCAATTTGAAAACCCCTGCTCTATGGGGTTCAGGTCAGGAGAGCTGGCAGGCCAATTGAGCACAGTAATACCATGGTCAGTAAACCATTTACCAGTTGTTTTGGCACTGTGAGCAGGTGCCAGGTCGTGCTGAAAAATGAAATCTTCATCTCCATAAAGCTTTTCAGCAGATGGAAGCATGAAGTGCTCCAAAATCTCCTGATAGCTAGCTGCATTGACCCTGCCCTTGATAAAACACAGTGCACCAACACCAGCAGCTGACATGGCACCCCAGACCATCACTGACTGTGGGTACTTGACACTGGACTTCAGGCATTTTGGCATTTCCTTCTCCCCAGTCTTCCTCCAGACTCTGGCACCTTGATTTCCGAATGCCATGCAAAACTGAGCAACAGTCCAGTGCTGCTTCTCTGTAGCCCAGGTCAGGCGCTTCTGCCGCTGTTTCTGGTTCAAAAGTGGCTTGACCTGGGGAATGCGGCACCTGTAGCCCATTTCCTGCACACGCCTGTGCACGGTGGCTCTGGATGTTTCTACTCCAGACTCAGTCCACTGCTTCCGCAGGTCCCCCAAGGTCTGGAATCGGTCCACCTCCCACTGAGGTGCCTTGATACAGCACTCTGGGAACAGCCTATTTGTTCAGAAATTTCTTTCTGTCTTACCCTCTTGCTTGAGGGTGTCAATGATGGCCTTCTGGACAGCAGTCAGGTCGGCAGTCTTACCCATGATTGCGGTTTTGAGTAATGAAACAGGCTGGGAGTTTTTTAAAGCCTCAGGAATCTTTTGCAGGTGTTTAGAGTTAATTAGTTGATTCAGATGATTAGGTTAATAGCTCGTTTAGAGACCCTTTTCATGATATGCTAATTTTTTGAGACAGGAATTTTGGGTTTTCATGAGCTGTATGCCAAAATCATCAGTATTAAAACAATAAAAGACCTGAAATATTTCAGTTGGTGTGCAATGAATCTAAAATATATGAAAGTTTAATTTTTATCATTACATTATGGAAAATAATGAACTTTATCACAATATGCTAATTTTTTGAGAAGGACCTGTATATTGTTTTCCTACTAGATGTGGTTTATCTATCTTCTGTGTCTGTCCAATCCAAAGATCCAATCAGGAGCTGTAATAACTGTAATCACCATGACAACTCACTCACTCGTTGGCCGTGCTGTGTGTGTGTGTGTCATTCGCAAACGCAGGCGCTAATCCATCGGCAGTACCTGTTTCCTTGCTAGCGAAAATCATGGCGTGCTCAAAACCTGACAAAAAGAGAAAAGTCGATTCTGAAAATCGCGAATTTAAGAGAGTGGACTGACAGTTATGCATTTGTGCTGCCGGCGGGGAGCACAAAACCAATGTGTTTAATTTGCAACGAGACGGTTGCCATTGTCAAGAGTGATAACGTGAAACGTCATTATGACTCAAAGCAAGGACACTTTGACCACAATTACCCGCTTAAATCTGAGGTAAGAGCCAAAAAAATCAAACAAGCAGCCATATCACCCTGTAGCCCAAGACTGGTTGCCCACTGAAGCTAAGCAGGGCTGAGCCTGGTTAGTACCTGGATGGGAGACCTTCTGAGAAAACCAGGTTGCTGCTGGAAGAGGTGTTAGTGAGGCCAGCAGGGGGTGCTCACCCTGTGGTCTGTGTGGGTCCTATCGCCCCAGTTTAGTGACGGGGACACTATACTAACAAAGAGCATCGTCCTTCGGATGAGACGTTAAACCGAGGTCCTGACTCTCTGTGGTCATTAAAAAATCCCAGGATGTCTTTCGAAAGAGTAGGGGTGTAACCCCGGCATCCTGGCCAAATTTGCCCAGTGGCCTCTGTCCATCATGGCCTCCTTATCATCCCCATATATATATACACTGATTGGCTTCATCACTCTGTCTCCTCTCCACCAGTAAGCTGGTGTGTGGTGGGCGTTCTGGCGCACTATGGCTGCCGTCGCATCATCCAAGTGGATGCTGCACATTGGTGGTGGTTGAGGAGATTCCCCCTTCCATGTGAAGCGCTTTGAGTGCCTAGAAAAGCGCTATATAAATGTAATAATGAACAACTGCAATTTATCATACCATGCAACATGCAGTGTAATAGTTAGATCAGCCACCCAACAAGAACGTGCAACTGAAGCCTCATTAAGAGTGGCATGGGTCTTAGGAAAGCACAAGAAACCATTCTCTGACTCGGAGATTGTGAAGGAATGCATGAATGAAATAGCAATTGCCCTGTTTGAGGGAACTCAAAAAGATGACATCATACAAAAAATAAACCAAATATCTTTGTCTGACTCCACTGCTGTAAAGCGAACTGAAGTCCTTGCTGAGGATTTGCTTGACCAAATGAAGTCTGCAATAAAAAAGGCTAAATGCATTTCATTGGCTTTGGATGAATCCACAGACAACGCACAACTTCTGGTGTTTGTCAGATTTTTTGATGAAGAGAAGGGAGAATTATGTGAAGATGTGTTAGGCCTCACAGCCCTCCATGGACACACAAGAGGGGATGATATTTATGAAGCACTGATGCAGATGTTGAGAGACAGAGAGATAGACCTGAAGCATGTTATTTCCATTGCTACTGATGGAGCTCCATGTATGACTGGAAGAGAGAGGGGATTAGTGGCACGCTTGAGAGCTCATCACCCTGAACTAATAGCATATCATTGCATAATTCATCAGATGGTTTTGTGTGCCAGTCTTGAAGAAAAGTATGCAGAGGTCATGACAACAGTAATGAGACTTGTGAACTTTTTGAGGGCATCATCTGCTCTGCAGCATCGCTTGTTGCGCTCATTCCTAACAAAGGTGAATGCAGAATTTGATGATTTGCATCTTCACAACAATGTCCGGTGGCTTAGTAAAGGCAAGGTACTGGAGCGCTTTTGGACATTACGGAAAGAGTTGGAAACCTTTCTGTTGGATAAGAAGAGTGCAAAAGCAAAACAATTTGTGGAAATTATGCAGAATGAAGAAAAAATGGAAATTGTTGCATTTCTATCTGACATTACCTCCCATCTCAATGATCTGAACATGAAGCTCCAGGCCAAAAATAACACAGTGTGTAACCTCACATCACCTTTCTGTGCCTTTCAGAAGAAACTGGAGCTGTTCAAGTGTGACTTACAGCAGGACCTGCTTCACTTCCCAAAGCTTTTAAATCAAACAGCAGGAACACATCATCATCACAATCATGCTGAATTCCTGGACAAGCTGATAAAAAAATGTCCAAACTCGCTTTGGAGATTTCCCTCTGGGAAAACAAGTCTTACTATGCATGGAAAATCCATTCCTTGTCAAAAACATCGCAGAATTTTCAACTGAAGCCTTGAAAATCTGCCCATGGGCTAGTGCTGCTTCACTTCAATCAGAGCTAATTGAGCTTCAGGAAAACCTTGCACTGCAGGAGTCTCTCTGTGACCCTACCACCTTCTGGACTAAGATGGTCCCTGCAGCAGGTGTCCCTTCCTTGCAGAAGGTGGCCCTTCAAATTCTCACCATGTTTCCCTCAACATATTGTTGTGAGTCTGCCTTTTCAACCATGAACATGGTGAAAAACAAATACAGGAGCACCCTCAGTAATGAACACTTACATCAGTGCCTCCGCCTGGCCCTCACACCTTTTATGCCCAAGTTTAAAGAACTGGTGGCACAAAAAAGGTGTCACTTTTCACACTAATAAGGCCAGACCACATCACCTTTTGTACATAGTTTAAACATTTTGTGGGATTTACCACCTTTTTTGTTGGAGTTCTGTTTTTGGATTTTGACTATCACTGTTCCGGACCCTGGACGCAAGGAAAATTTGGTGAGTGGACCTTTTAGGTTTCTAATTGAGTACCCCTGGTCTAGCTGATATCATTTGCATTGCATCCAACGTCTGGACCTACGAATTGCCTTCGAGAGCCACCATTACAAGCCACTATACAGAAATTGCACGAAACAGAGAAGGCTAAGGTACAGCAGGCGTTGGAGGAGACAAAAGCAGTCGCGCTCACCGGTGATTACTGGACGTCCCTCAGTAATCACAACTACCTCGGGGTCACATCCCATTACTTTGATCCACAGTGGAAACTTCAGTCACATGCTTTGACTGTTCTAAAGACAGAAGAGAGGCACTTCGCTGACGCTGTTGCAGAGCACTTTATGAAAGTAGCTAGAGAGTGGGACATCGAACACAAAGTTGTCTCACTGACCACGGATAGTGCACGCAACATGATTGCAGCAGCCAGGCAGCTCCCCTTTGAGCACATGCCGTGCATCGCACACAGTGTGCACCGAGCCGTCACGGTTTCTCTAGCCCGTATGACAGCACATTGGCAAAATGCAAAAAAAGTTGTGGGACATTTTAAGCACAGCCCAGCACACCAAGCGGAGCTCGAGCAGCAACAAGTCGCACATCATCAGAAGAAAGAGTCACTCGCACAAGAAGTGTCAACCAGATGGAATAGTACCCTGGAAATGATCAAGCGTGTTCAGCGGAATGCTAAACCTCTGAGAGATGCACTGGCCCTGCACACAACCAACGTCGCCATGCCAACAGCTACTGAGCTGGAGAAACTGAAGAAGCTCGAGGCTGTGCTGGAGCACTGCAGGTAATTTATTGTGTATCCGTGTCGTGTGTATATCTGTTTGTTTGATAATCAATGTAGGTCTGTGTCAGGACAGTATCATTAATGATTGTGTGTGTGTGTGCGTGTGAGTGTGGTGAGTGAGAGAACTGTGTGTGTGTGCGTGTGAGTGTGGTGCGTGAGAGAACTATGTGTGAGTGAGAGAACTATGTGTGTGAGTGTGGTGAGTGAGAGAACTATGTGTGTGAGTGTGGTGAGTGAGAGAACTATGTGTGTGTGCATGTGGTGAGTGAGACAACTATGTGTGTGTGAGTGTGGTGAGTGAGAGACCTATGTGTGAATTACAGTAGGCCTAACTAGTTCCCCACTAAAGTGCTTCTCTATATTATTGCAGGTATGTGTCTGAACTTCTGGGAGGAGAGAAGTTTGAGTCTTGCCCAGTAGTTCTGCCAGCATTGTGTCATCTGTCGCGAGTGATGGAAGTCACTGAGGACGACCCAGCTTACACGATCAAGTTTAAGGGAACCTTTGCAGCAGACATTGAGGGTCGCAAGGAGAAGACCAACATCACATGGCTGAGAGTTGCGACAGCACTTGACCCAAGGTCAGATTGCCATGCTTCATTCTTACACTCATCCTCATTCTCAGCATTGTGTTTCTCTCAGTGTGTTTCTTTTGTTAGGTTGCTTGCTGCTTTACTTTGTATTTTTGAATTTAGCACTGTAGAGATAGGGGTATTGTCGCAATTTTGTTATATCTGCACTTGTATTAAAGTTGCATTTCATATCATTTCAAGGTTTAAGGACCTCAAGCGTCTGAGCAAACCTGACAGGGCTGAGGTGTGGTGTACACTAGAGGGCTGCATTGGGATTGAGTCCCGCCGGGTCCTGCGGGACCCAACGCAAATCTCGCGGGAGCGGGCGGTTTGAACTTTGCTGCGGGCGGGAATGGGCGGCCAAAAAAAAACCCTGCGGGATCGGGAGGTAGCCTAACGACATGATGGAGATGTCAATGATGTGGAAAAGAACCTCAAACGGGGTATTTACAGCACAAAACCTGAGCAAGGCAAGTCTGACATTTACTATTCATCTTCCTGATCAGTGCGTCAGAATACATGCAGGCCAGGGAAACGAAACCAACAACCCCATGAATCTCTTTAATAATAGCAATTCAAATACGCGTTTTTTTCCTGCGGGACGGGAGAAGACACAAAGTCAATGCATCTCTATTATTGTGCGGGAATAAATTCTCCGAGTTTTGCGGGTGCGGGCGGGAGTGGACATACATATTGCGGTAATGGTCAGAAATTCGGCGGGCGCGGGCGGGAGCGGGATGAAGAAAACAGTCCCGCGCAGGACTCTAGTGTACACCTTGCTCCAGGAGATGGAGAGGAAGAGGCCTGCACAGCCGGATAACCAAGTCACGCCTGAGCCTCCTACGAAGAAACCAACTCTCATGCTTGCACACGAGTCTTCGTCTGATGAAGAGGAGGACAGTATTGAGCAATGTCTGGAGCGCTACAAGGCAGAGCCTCTTACTGGTATAGATGACTGTCCCCAAGAATGGTGGTCCACACATGAAGGGGCACACAGTGAAATGGCGCGCCTTGCACACAAGTACTTAGCAACACCGGCCACATCAGGACCTTCTGAAAGGTTGTTTTCACTGTCTGGGCATGTTTGATCATGAAACATACGGCATCATGAATGATTGACTATCCTTGTAGCTTTTTTTTTGTAAAATAAAAATAGGTTTTGTGTTTGTGGTGTAAGCATGCCCCCATATTTCAACACAGTAAGAAAAGTATGGAACAATAAGAGAACAATACAGAATATACAAAGAGGGCGTATTTAAAAAATACTTGGTTTTATGGAATATAGCTATTGTTTTGGACAGTTTTGATTGGACATGAGCGATGTGTGGTTTTTCCAGGATAATTTATGGTCTAATATTATTCCAAGAAATTTGTTTTCATTCACCCTTTCTAGTTCCACATCATCGAGCTTTAAGCTCATGCTGGTTTTAATTTGTCGATTACTGAATATAATTTATGTAAAACTAAATATATTAAAGGATAGTTTATTTTGGTCAAACCATTGCTTAATTCTGGATAGTTCTCTATTCACTTCAGTAATTAATTGGTGAAGATTATCCCCAGATACATACAGTGTTGTGTCATCTGCGAATAAAACACATTTTAACAAATCGGATACCTTACAGATGTCATTAATATATAAAATAAACAACTTAGGACCAATCAAAGAACCCTGGGGCACCCCACAAGTTACTTTACGCATTTCTGATTGATGCTCATTAAAATAAACATACTGATGTCTATTGTCAAGATAGCTTTCTAACCAAGAGCACGGCCTCTAAAACCACACTGCTCTAGTTTATTCATTAACAATTTATGATCTATGGTATCGAAGGCTTTTTTGAGGTCGACAAAAACACCCAAAGTAGAATACTTTTTGTCTAATGCAGATGCTATATAATCAACTAATTTAATAACTGCCATTGAAGTCGATCGACCGCTCCTAAATCCATATTGATCGTCACTTAATATCATGCATTTTTCTATGAAACTATCAAGCCTCTTCAGAAAAAGTGTTTCCAGTATTTTTGAAAATTGAGATAATAATGAAATTGGTCTATAGTTTGAATATAAATGACTGTCACCACTCTTGTAAATTGGAATAATTTTAGCAATTTTCATCTGATCTGGAAACACGGCAGATTTAAAAGACAAATCGAAAATATAGGTCAGGGGTTCTAATAATAAATGAATTATATTTTTAACTAGTTTCATATCAATATCTGTCCAATCGGTTGACCTTTTATTTTTAAAACCATTCACAATCTCCAATATTTCATTTTTGGTAATATCAGAGACATACATCGAGGAAAAGTTCCTACTGATATATTCACAACTCTTTGTTTTTACTTTTTGATTCAGTAATACCTTTTGCCTGATTGACACCAACATTAACAAAATAATCATTGATTTCTAATAAGGACCTCATTGTCATTTATGAAATAACTTGGACACTCTCGTTTATTATTTGTTTTTTTTTAATAATTTTGTTTAGTACTTTCCAAGTTCCTTGCATATTTTGCTTTTGTTGTTCTAAGAGGGTATGAAAATATTGCTTTTTACTATTTCGAATAATATTTACCAATTTATTTTTTGTATTTTTTGTATTTTTCTTCCGACTCAATAGTCCTTTTTTTTTTTTTTTACAAATTTTGCATATAGTGTATTCTTCTTTTTGCATGCATTTTCAATACCTTTTGTTATCCATGGTTTTTTTGCTGATTTATTTTCTTGGTTGTGAATCATCTTCATGGGGCAATTGATATTATACAACTCAATAAATCTATACAAAAAAGTATCGTATGCCACATTTGCATCACTTTCTGCATAAATATCAGACCATTCATTCATTCATTCATTCATTCATTCATTCATTCACACACAGACACGCAATTCATATTTAAACAGTCTTTGTGCAGTTTACAGATACTATTCAATAACGCGATTAGAACCAAGCACTTAAGAATAAATAACTTACTGCATCTGCTGAATCCGTGCTCCTCGAAATAAAACTACCAGCACTTCTGAGGTAACTTTTCCAGGATTATTACGATAGTATTATTCCTCACAGCGCAGCAAGACGAGGTAAAGTACAAGATTCTTATTAAACTGGATGTTTTATCCAGCTGATGTGGGCGTTTTCATGGCTTGCCTCAACATTTGCGTTTGAATAGCGCGCGCTCTCAGTGGGCGTGGTCACATTAACATGTCATACGCTATAATGAGCTGAAAGGAAAAAGACTGACATCTCTCTTTTTTCATACAGATTACATAAACTGAGAATATTTGTTTTTTATGTAAATTACTTCATTTAAAAGAAGAGAATTTCAGCTTCATAACGAAAAATCTTTCGTGCCTGTGTGACAAGTATTCACTGAGTTACAGTTCATTTTTGGAAGTGTTTCAGAACGGACTTCACTGACAGAGAGAAGGTAAAATTCGCATCATGTTTATTTTTCTTTATTTGACAAAAAGCAGAACACTTTGTTTTTATTGTGAGTATCCACAAAAAAATAGACACTTAACAGGGTCTAATGATGTACAACACTTATAGATCAAAATCAACAAAATAATTTGAGTCTCTTTTGCACTGATAAGGAAAAAATGAGCTCGTCGCGCCGGCGTGATCTGCTCGCTTTTTTTCTTATCAGTGCAAAACACATCATTCAAAACTGTTAAATGTCTTTTATTTGTGTACACTAATAATAAAAACAAAATGTTGTGTTTTTCGTAAAATAAAGAAAATAAACATGATGCGTGTTCTCCCGTCTCTCAATGTGAAGTTCATTCTGAAACGCGACAGAAAATTACCTATAACTCAGCAAATGCTTGTCACTGTGACATGAAACATATGTCTTTACGAAGCTCCACAAATATGCTCTGTTTAAGTAATTCGTATGAAAACAACGACATGTACAGTTTCTCCAGCCCGAGCTGATTAGCGCTAATGTGACCATGCCGACACGCGCACAAGCTGTTTATATGCAAATTATCCACGCGGAGGAACGCAGAGCTGTTACCGCCCTCATCACCTCAAAACAAAGAATCAGCGACTTCAGTACTACTCTGCTTGTCATCGAGTTGTTTGTGCTGTGCTGTTTACCTTGGATTTACCTCAGAAGAATTAGAAGAACACGATTTGATTATGATAACTATTTTTAAGTTAAGACACTAATAGTACCATGTTATTGTTGTGATTGTAAAAACATGAAGTCTAATGCTAAATGTATATAGGCCTACATGTACCACACGAGAATGTTTTTATGTTCGATAATTAAACAGCTGTCATGGCGGGGAACAGAACACAGGAAGCAAAAGCAAGTTACTCAGTTTATTGAGGTATTGACAAAGATGATGACACGGGCGTGGAATGATGGCGCAGGGACTTCGATGGTCAGACGTGATGACAGGAACCGTGAAGAGGTGAGACACAGAAGACGGAATCCACACAACCCAAACGATAGTCCACATCAAACGACGAATCCACGAACACAGGATGAGCGGGATGACAGGACTGGAACACCGACACAGGAGACATCAAACAACGATCTGACAAAGAGGACAAAAACCGGTGAGTATAAATAGGGTGAGGAAATGGACTGCAGCTGGTGATGATATGATGATCAGCTGGACCGGATCAGGTAATGACACAACACTCACGCCCACTACGCACGTGCATTCATACAACAACATAAACACGAGACGAGAAGGAACCAGAGAATAGCAGAGATGGGGGACTCGAGTCACATGACTTGACTCGAGTCAGACTCGAGTCGCAAATTTAAGGACTTGAGACTTGCTTGACTAAATTAAGAAAATGACTCGACTTGACTTTGACTTGAGATCCAATGACTTGAGACTTGACTTGACTTGAACTGTATGACTCGAGAATGACTTGATATACATTTTTATATAAATCATCGCAACATCAATTGATAAACAAAATGAAAGCAACGTAACCATTGACGTCAGTCATCAGATTCTGCGCGATTGCAGACTGATCTCATGAAATGGCGTATGTATGACACGCCAATTCGTATTTCCATTTTTGGCGTGCTATCAACACGCATAATCGCTTTTCAGCGTGTTTATCAACGCCTTTGACTTAACGTTATATTACTGTATTATGTATATATAAATATATGACCTACCCCAACCCCGTCCCTAAACCTACCCGTCACTGGGGTTAATACCATTTATGAGTCTTCTCCTACCATCCTAGGAAAAGAAATATCGCTCCACAGATGTAGATATAGATTTTGCTTCGTTTCGCTCGGACATTTAACGGCGTACACATACACGCGGAATCACTCGGACATTTAATGGCGTAGACAT